CACAGAATAAGAGAATTGACAGTGGAACAGAAGTTGCCTCCAGAAGTTGTGGGTGCGCCATCACTGGAGGTTTAGAAGAAGAGATCGGGCAGATATTTCTCCGATGTAATATAGGGTCTCCTGCCTGAGCAGGGGGTTGGACTAGATGACCTCCAAGGCACCCTTCCAACTCAGTTACTGTTACCTCCAAGGTCCCCCTCCAATTCTCTTATTCTGTGAGTGTGATGTTTGAAGCCATCGGTGAACAAAGTCCAGGAGCTGCAAACTCCCGCCAAGGGGTCTCTGGCCTGTGGGTGATGCTGCCTGGACAAATCCCTGGCTGAACGGCCCCCCCTGCGAGAGGCAGATTTGCAGGCTCACCAATCGCTCTGCTAGAAAGAGCCCAATTGCGGCGTCCTCTGCCAGGGGCTGTGCCAGGACCAGCTCATGCCACGAATGAGAGAGCCTGCCAAGCCCGCTTCTGCCCACTCTGAACTTTCCCTGATTTCAAAGAGAGCCACTGCCTGGCGGAAGGCTGCTGGGGGTGGGGGCAGCGCTTCATGTGCCCCCTCCCTCGTGCCTGGCAGGATGGCCTCCTCGGCTGAGTACGTTGCCGGCAACCTTCCCTCTCTGCCTGGTCCTGATGTTGGCAGCTAGAGGAGGCGCGCGTGAGTGGCAGAGGCCGAAGGGGTTAACTGGGTCGTGGGGATGTTGAAACTGGGTGAAAAGGCAGAGCAGGTGTCCAACGGGTCATGGGACCTCTGAAAACCGGCTACACACGTTCGCTTTGTCTCTCTCTCTCCTGTCATTATCTTTTGTGTGTGTTTGTGTGTGTCTGCGTGTGTCATTCCCTCCCAAGCACATGACAAGCTGCTACCTGCCCACTGCAGGGAAAACCCCTCCACGTGGCTTGGAGAGCGTCATTCTGCCCCACCAGGGGGGGACGGAGGGAGCAGGAAGAGACGTTGCCAAAGGACCCCAACAGTCGCCAGGGCCATGGGTGGGTGGGCGTCAGACAAGAGGAGCTGGGCTGCCAGGCCAAGAGGAGGTGGCTAGGTTGCATTGGGACATCTTCCCAGGCCACCTTGCCCTAACCGACTCTCTCCTCACCCAAACTGGCTGGGAATTAGGGGCATTGGAGTCCCAGGAACTCCGTCAAGAACGCCAGGTTGAGGAATGACCTGAATGGCTTCTCCGGAGCAGCTGTGCTGGGGATTCTCCTGGGGGCTCCTCCCGGGGCTCTCCTCCCTGGCTCTGTGGACGCTTGTCCAGGAAAGCTGGGGGAGTTTCCAGGAATGGCTGCAGAATTCCTGGATGGGACCCATGCGAAGTGCATCCAGCAGCCCTTGGCCTTTGAAGACCCTGGATGGGATCCAAGCCCCCTAATTACCCGCCAGTTTATTCCAGGCTCTGCTGATCTTAACCAGAAAGCGTCTGCCAGCAGCTTTACCAAACGATGCATTTGGTGAATAAAAGCTTCTGCCTTTTAAGCATTTTTTTTTTAAATAGGAAAAGCTGCTCCCCAACTCCTGATTTTTGGCTACCAATGTCCAATACAGTTCTTCTGCAAGGATTAAGATTAAGATTTAGTTTATTTGTATGCCACCCTTCTCCGGGAGGGACTCAGGGCGGCGAACAACTCAAAAGGGGAAAAGGGGATACAAACACAATACACGTAATTAAAATACACAAGA